CCCGAGGGTTCGGATCCCACATGCAGACCGGTTCCCGCTCACTGGCTGAGCGAGGCGCGGGAGCAGCACCGAGGGTTGCAATCCCGTTGCCGGTCCCCGGTCCGGTACGGGGGCAACACTGAGGGTTGCGATCCGTTGCCGGACACGGAAAAAGACAAAAGACAAAAAAAAAAAAAAAGAAATAACCAGCTGGATGCTGTCATGTAATTCTACTTAAATAGCCATAATTAAACTAACCAAGACAGAGAACTGAACTGAAATAGCATATCTGACCTTTGAGAAAGATACAGGATGTGGCAGCAAAAGAGCATCAAGTCTACTAAACTAAAGCAGTTACTGGTGCTAATTTTTTGTGCAGTGTGAACTTGTTAGACACACATCCTAAGGCTGACAAATGTATCAGTATTGCTTACAAACACTGTCCAGAAGATCAGCAAGATCAGCAAAGTCCTGAAACACATTTTTACTTCAAGACAGTCAGTCTTGGATAACATCTCATAAAGAGATGACGGCAGCACAGGCAAGCACTAGCCATATACTGAAATGGAAGCAACAGCAAACGGGAGTACAAGATTCATTTTAATGATACAATAAAGGATAGTGTTAAGCATGCAGCATGTTTGGATGCCTGGAAAATATCTTTTTTTTTTTTTGTGGCTGGCCAGTACAGGGATCGAAACTTGGACCTTGGTGTTATCAGTACCACTCTAACTAACTGAGCTAATTGGACAGCCCCTGCCTGGGAAATATCTTATAGGCCTCTATCATGAAGTGTGGAGAAGCTGCTTTCTTCCCCTCACGTCATTCAAGACAAATACCATTGGAAGTAGTAACAGGAACTTCTGAGTCATCAATTTCTAAAAGATGAGTTTTAGAGTAGAAGAACTGTTGGTCTTGAATTAACCTGTTCTGTTACAATGACCCACACAGATAATAGTTAACTGAATAGCATTTAAAAAAGAAAATGAAAAGCATTATATTCAGATTACAGAACCTTTTATACCTGCTGAGGTGTGGCCTTATAAATGTTTTAAGAGACTGTGAATATGTACATATGTCATTTCTATACCAACATCCCCAGTGCCAACCAGATTCATATCCATTTCATGTGGGGGCAGCAAGCTCAGGTGATAGGTCAGGGAATGTTCCTACCCTCAATGGTTGGCCAGGAGCAAGTCAGATGACCCCACAGGAGCCACCAGCCATGTCTAGAAGGCAGGACCTTCCACAGGACACTGTCCTCCTCAAAAAACCATCCAAAAAGAAAATTTTTTTCAAGCCCTCCTGCAACAGCAAACACAATTCTCTATACACAGTTGGCACTGAATTAATATTGACCAACCAAATGAAGCAGGATTTGCCAAAGCCCCATGGGGGTTTCATCAGACCAGTGTAGCATGCTAGTCTGTGTCCTGAATCACAGAGAACTCTTTGGGGCCTTCTTGGTGGTTGGCATCTTGGTCAAAAATCATTCAGTGTACCTTCTTCGTAAACAGACTTTCTATTCCTATACTACCTGTCTCCGAATAAGAAACAAAAGTAAATGGGATATCCTCCTGTAAACCTAGGCAGATAATTTGTACTTTACCCAGTGTTTGTGAGTATGTGGGATACTGGAAGAGGATGGAAGGAATTATGTACTATGCATCAAGATAAGACACAGCAGCCTTCCTATAACCTAACTACAGAGTTCAATTTATTAAGGTAACATTTCATTTTCCAAAAATAAAGCTCATTTGTTTCTGAATCCTATTCCCTCGATACTAACCACCCTACCACCCCCGACAGGTATATTGGGTGGGGCTAGCCCAAAACATGGCTGATTGGCATTAGTCTTCCTAGACTCTAGGGTCATCCAGCTTGTAAGATTTCTCAAGGTTCTCCTTCTTTGAAGAAGAGGGAGTGGGGAAGTGATCCTCTGGGGCTAGGGAGAGACTGGTCTGTGAAATCTTCCTCAGAGATCCTGCACTTAACTCAGATTCTTTTTAATGTTCCAACAGCCCTGTGTACATACCTCTATCACAGCAAGATGATGGAACTATAGTTTCTTTTTTACATGTATATCACCCTAACCAAACCAATAACCTTGGTGATAGAAATCATGCTCTATTTATCTCAGTAATCTCAACAACTGACTTTAAAGCAAGCCTACAATGAAAATTGATTAAGTTTCTGGCATAACTCAGAGAAGTAATTTTGCTAAAGATTCTACATTCCTTCTTCTCCCTTCACACTCAAGTCCTCTGAATCCCCATCACATATGAATTGCTTCACCCAAATTTCCTACCTCCCAGTACTTGGTTCGGTTGATACCCTCTGCATATGCTCGGGCAAAGATACTTTCACTGTTGAGGGCTGTAATGGCTGCACTGAGTTGAGACATGGGGTGTAGATTAGTGGGAAAGTTGTCCAGCATGGTGACCACGTGAGAAGGCAGAGCTGCCCTTTTCGCCCACTCTTTTGAAAGCCATGATACCTGTGGAAATGAAGACACTGCTCAGATGCTAACAAGAAAAGGAGAAAAATAAAAGAACAGTGAAATCTGAGTAAAGAAAACCCAAGAGAGTTCAACCCAATCCATTTATACAGCGGAACTCTGCTCTGATTCCTTTCCCTCACTGCACATCTCTATAAACTACTACCAATAACCAGATCAGGATTACATGTTTGAGATTAGGGAAAAACAAAGAAGGGGAATGAGAAGGGCTAATGTCCTTCTGCTTTACCTGTTCTTCTGTTGGGATCTGTCCGGTTACCAGCAGCCAAAATAAGCCCTCAGGCAGGGGTTCTTCTCCACCCTTAGCCTTGGGGAGCAATTTCTGGCATTCAGGGATACTATGGCCTCGGAAACGGATGCCCTTGAGGGAGAAAAATAATCACAACTCTTAAATTTATTAGCTGGAAGTCACATAATTGACTGCTCCCAATCACATCAGGCCTTTTAAGTTAGAATAGAACTTTTGAAGCTTAAATTTTCGTATACCTTACTTCACCTTTTGTACTTTTATCTTCACTACTTGATATATTAAAAAGGTAAACTGCTCCTCAGTTATTCCATATATACCTATTTTCTACCTTCCAAAATATGAAGGTAGTGTTTTGTTCTTACCCTCACTGGTCTAATCCATGATTTGCATGGTTTGAATGGTCAGTAAACTCTACGATTATTAATAATTGACATTGGGGGTGTCTTACCTCATCAGGATCAAGAACTGATGTTTCATATACCAATCCCTTCATGCCTCTCATGCCACCATACATCTGAAGAAAAGAAGAGGGTGTGACCAGTAGTCAGAATGATTCAGACTAGAGCTTGTTAGAGCTTCCTGAGACCTGGGAGGAAATTTATTCTCTGACTTTCAAGACTTCAATTTAAGGAAGAACTTGCATTTAACTTTACTAAAGAACTGAATTTTGCAAGACTACTAACAATGGAAATGAAATTTTTTAATTGAGAAATCACTACCTATCTGAGATGTTCAGATTCTTAAGGCTAGGGAAAAGTCATCCTAAAACTGTTCTAGAGGGCCTACTAGAGCTGTGGTTTAACTGAACAGCTGGTACAGTATCAACTCAAAGACAGAATCCTGGCCCCAAAAGCAGAGGGGTTGGGAACAGGAATAGAAACTTCATCCATCCTTTCCATAGGTGAATTAGGTTTAGTTAACTATTAAGTTTGTAGAAAAGAACAATCTAATGAATACTATAAACCCCAATATTTCCTCAACAGAATGCTTTTGAATAGTCAGTGAAGAGAATGCTACTTTTGCTGAAGCACATTACAAGCTACTTTTCCCAGCCAAGACCCCACAACCCTTACCATGTCCACAGTAATTTGGCCCACAACCGTCTTGCCATGTTGCTGCCTAAAGGCCTTAATTCTGGCCTGCTCCTTAGGTATCAGGTCAGCCAATATGTCTTTCAAATTCTAAAAAGAGAAATAGAAGGGCTAAGTGATGGTTAAAAAGTTTACTAGGGCCAGCCTGGTGGCGCACTCGGTAGAGTGCAGCGCTTGGGAGCAGAGCGGCGCTCCCGCCGAGGGTTCGGATCCCATATAGAGACCGGTCTGCTCACTGGTTGAGCGCGGTGCGGGCGCAACACTAAGGGTTGCGATCCCATTACCGGTCATGAAAAAAGACAAAAAGGAAAAAAAAAAAAGTTTACTAGATTTCCTGCAAAGTAGGTACGTGAAGACTGCTTTTTAGAATTTGGCTTTCTTCGGCCCGATGGCACACTCGGTAGAGTGCGGCGCTCCCGCCGAGGGTTCGGATCCCATATAGAGACCAGTCCGCTCACTGGTTAAGCGCGGTGTGGGCGCAACACCGAGGGTTGTGATCCCGTTACTGGTCACGAAAAAAGACAAAAAGGGAAAAAAAAAAAAAGAATTTGGCTTTCTTTATCTGCTAGGGAAGTCTGGTCGACTACTCTGTATAGATGAGGATAAAAGAATTAGATGGGGGAAGAAAGAATGTGTACTTATTGCCATTGAACCATACACTTAAAATGATTAAACTGGTAAATTTTATTATGTGTACCAAAATTTTAAATATTAAAATAAAGGCTGGTCGGTTAGCTCAATTGGTTAGAGCATGGTGTTGACAAGATCAAGGGTTCAGATCCCCTTACCGACCAGCTGCCAAAAAAAACTTCAAATAAAAAAGAATTAGGCAAAATTATTTGATATTCCCTCTTCACTATGCCATTGAGTAAATTAGTAAGAGTAGTAAAATAGTAACAGTAGTAGTAATAATAGTTATAACAATAACAATAATAATGGACACTTCCAGGAGATACTCAGGATAATAATAAGAGGCCAGGCAGTCACCAAAACCCCCGTCCCAGGATCAGGCTGCCCCAGTGATTCTGTCTTCTTTTCCAAACTTTACCATGGAGGAAGCACTGGCATGCCGGGCAGCAAGAACAAGACAGGATGCATTCTGCAAAGAAAAAAAAAAAAAGCCTTACATAATAGCTACTCCTCTTTCCTTTGTATTAGGGGTCTTCAAAATGTTCATGAAAAGATTGTATTATTTTTATTATTATTATTTTTTTTTTTAAAAAAGATGACCGGTAAGGGGATCTTAACCCTTGGCTTGGTGTTGTCAGCACCACACTCAGCCAGTGAGCGAACCGGCCATCCCTATATAGGATCTGAACCCGTGGCCTTGGTGTTATCAGCACCACACTCTCCCGAGTGAGCCACGGGCCGGCCCTAAGATTGTATTATCTTTTAGTTTCATTTCCCACGAACTTTTTGAAGTATCCTCGTATTAACAAGATGTTGTTCCAGGGACTCAACCTCTCATTCTTCATCTTAGCCTCTAGGACAGTTCGACATAGGAAAGCTGTGAAAGGCTCTGAACAACTTGGAAGGAGTTACCAGTCTGGAGACAGCAGTAGGTTTAACTCTGCTTCTTGCATCCATAGCTTCACTAGCATTCCCTAAAGACAGTCTCTTTCTTATTATTTGGATTCCAGGGCAGTTAGTATATCCAGTCCATCCCAAATCAGCTGTCAATATTTCTAAGTGGCCCCAAGGAAAACCAAGGAGGAAACTGACAATTACTTAAGGAGGCTGGTAAGGTCTCTCCAGCACCTGGTCTTTTGGCAAGACTTCAACCTTTTCATTCTAGGAGAAGCCCACAGGCAGAGGGCAGACTTTGACAATAGTACTTTTAACAGTCCTGGAAAAAGCACAAAGAAAGAATATCTACAAAGAAACAACTGACAGAAAACTACCCAACAGCCGCAATGGAAGCTAGAAAACTGAAAATTTTTCTAAAGGAGTGCCAAGAGGAAATAATTATTAAGCGAGAGAGAGAGAGAGAATGTGTGTGTGTGAGAGAGAGAGAGAGAGAGAGAGAATGTGTGTGTGTACACGACTTAAAAGAGGATGAAATAAAGACACTTTCAGACAAACAAAAACTGAGGGTTTGGACCACCCTGCCGGTCAACCACCAAAAAAACCAAACAAAAAACAAACAAACAAAAAAACCGAGAGTTGGGCCAGCCCGTGGCTCACTCGGGAGAGTGCGGTACTGGTATCAACACCAAGGCCGTGGGTTCAGATCCTATATAGGGATGGCTGGTTGGCTCACTGGCTGAGCGTGGTGCTGACAACACCAAGTCAAGGGTTAAGATCCCCTTACCAGTCATCTTTTTAAAAAATAAAAATAAAAAAGAATAATAATAATAATAATAAAAAAAAACGAGAGTTTATCACCTACACACCTGAACTAAAGGAATTTTTATCGACTTTTTTTTTTTTTTAATTCGGGCAGCTGGCTGGTACAGAGATTGAACCCTGGACCTTGGTGTTATCAGCACCACACTCTAACCAACTGAGCTAACCAGCTAGCCCCTAAATGAATTTTTAAAGATATACTTCAGGAAGTAAGAAAATTATCCAGAAAAATGGATCTGAGACTCAGAAAGTTTATCCCTCACTACAGAAATAAGTAGTATAGCTAGCTTATGGTTTTCTTTTCTTTCTTTCTTTTTTTTTTAAAGATGACCGGTAAGGGGATCTTAACCCTTGGCCTTGGTGCTGTCAGCACCATGCTCAGCCAGTGAGCAAACTGGCCATCCCTATATAGGATCTGAACCCATGGCCTTGGTGTTATCAGCACCGTGCTCTCCCGAGTGAGTCACAGGCCGGCCCCACTAGCTTATGTTTTTCTATGTTTAAAGGTAAGTTTTCTCCTACAAAGAAAAACTACTTTCTATGAGAAGATTGCCTAGTTGCAATAAAAGTTCAACACCAACTTTGATGTAAGACAACCAATTACACTGCCAACTAGGAATAAAGCCTTAGACAAGATTAACTTTTGTGTATTAGATTATTTTGAAGATAAAATGAGATAGTCAAAATAAAACGGTGTGCTACTGCTACAGTGCGCCGCTTGGGAGCGCTGTGTAGCTCCCGCCAAGGGTTCGGATCCCACATACAGACCGGTTCCCGCTCACTGGCTGAGCGAGGTGTGGGAGCAACACTGAGGGTTGCGATCCCGTTGCCGGTCCCGGTCCGGTGCGGGCGTGACACTGAGGGTTGCAATCCGTTGCCGGACACGAAAAAAAAAGACAAAAAAAAAAAAAAAAAAAAAAAAAAAAAAAAAAAATAACAACGGTGTGCTAACATCAACCACACATTTCACAGGTTTTTTTTTTTTTCCCCTCTCCAATTTTTGGCAACTGGCCAGTATGGGGATCTGAAAGGATTGTTTTATGATGATACAATGAATGTGAAAGTACTCTGCAAACTAAAAAGATTACACACGGACATACATATACAAATAAAAGAATTTTGGAGCAAGGCCACACCTCTCCTCCTTTTGCCAAAAGGCCAGAGACTCCTTTTCCAGTAAGTATCGTACTGCTGTCTGGATGAGCGGAAAGTCATTTGAACTGCTGGTACTGTATAAATTACAAAATGCAACATGTCTAGCATGAGATGCTATAGGGCCCAAAGCTTTTTAGAATTTAGTACCCCTCTTTCTGTTGGGGCACTGAGGAGGATTAAAAAAAAGAGATACTTCAAAAAAGCCCCCCCCCCCCCGCCGTTTTTTTTTTTTTAGCAGCTGGCCAGTACAGGGATCCGAACCCTTGACCTTGGTGTTATCAGCACCACACTCTAACCAAGTGAGCTAACTGGCCAGCTGAAAAAAGGCTATTTTTAAAAGAATCAATCCAAAGCTAAATTCAGAGAGCATGAGGCAAGCTAGTGTGTCCCTAAAGCAAAGGGGGAATGCTTCAACTTGTTAACCAGGGCTGCACTTTACTTTTACTAACTTCCTAAAGAGTATCCTGAGGACCATTTGAGCAAGAAGTAGGCAGCACAAACAGCCCTCAAGCCCCTTCAACCTACGTGGGGCAAATGGGAAGCTGAACCCAGCACTAAAGAAATACTTTGCCTTTTCTTACTAGTCACCAAAAAGTGGGCAAGGGAAAACATGTGAATGAATTAAAACTACTGTTCTACAGAACTAACCTTGTTCAAGCTATTCCATGCTCAGGGTCCCATAGCTCCCCTATTACAAATGCCCCTTCTCCCAAAGACTACATCACAGCCCAGCAGCAGAACTTTTAATTGTGGGTGGTTGTTTGTCGTGGTGGTTTTGTTTTGTCTTTAAAGAGACTACAGGGAACAGATCATCTGAGAGAAGAAAAAAGTTGAAATCTCTCCATAATGATAATTTTTCCACTTCTAAACCATCTTTAAATTTCTATAATGGCTAGCTGCTTTTCTGGGAAGAGAATGGATTGTAAGAAGAATAGTTTAAGGTTAAATCTTAAGCAAAAAAAATTTATCCAAGTTCAACAGATAGTATGAGAGCACAAATCATAAGATGAAAATGGAAATCCTCTCAGGTTGGAGGTTCTTCTTCCACCAATAAGAACATAAAAAAAAAACTGGGGTTTTTTTGTTGTTAAGAGAGAGAACTGCTAGTACCAACAAGAGTGCTGCCCTCTCCTTTTCCTTCATTTAACATTAAAAACAAAAGAGGAAATCAGAAAGAAAAGGGTAGGTCACCAAACAAGGCTGTAAGAATGCAATGTTATTTAAAAGGAATCAAATGGGTCATGACTTCTTAGTTATAGCCATCTCTCAAATCTGTTCATATGAATGCTACTTTAAGAAATAGGGAAGGGGAACTTGGAACTAAACTATCACCTCACTTCCACCTTCAACAAAGTGTTAATTTCCTTTGTAGCAAGAGCTTTGACATTTAAGGAGGAGCCTAAGGAGCAACCTAAAGGCAGCTGATCTCAACTGTCTCTAATCTCCATCAGCAACATTCTTAGCCAGATCCCCAGTGTGCAAAGCAATGCTGGTTTGTACAAAGTCTGCCTATATGGCTACAGAATAAAACTAGTATATTTTATTTCTACTACATTTCTCTGCCACTTACTGGCTGTGTGACTCTAGCCAGGTCATTTAACCTTTCTGTGCCTCAGTTTCCCTGTCTGTAGAACAGAACAATAAGTACAAAGATTAAGTAAGTCAATATTTACATAGCACTTAAAACTGTCTGGCTTACAGCAAATGCTCTGTATTTGTTACATAATAAATAGATAAAATAAAATAGTATGACCACTTTCTAGTACCCTTCAGTGTCAGGTTCAGTCACATTTTTTTGCTAATCCTGAAGCTTAGAAGAAAACCAAAGAATTCAGAAGGATTTTAAAGGCACAATTCATTGATAAGACTGTTCAAAAGGTTAGAGTAGGAAAAATTCAGGTTAGGACAACTTTACCTAATGATGTAATGTACAGAGCACTTGATTTGGAGTTAGTAAAGGAAATCTGGATTCTAGTCCCAGCTCCATTACTAAATAACTGAGACAGCCAATGCAAAACAATTACCTACTGTTTCCCTTTCCATATTTAAGATAACACAAGCTACTTAGCTCAGAGTCAGATTCTAAGGCTCCAGTAAAGACATATGCAAAGGTACTCAAAAGTTTTCCCACTTAAAATGTGCCCTCCTAGCCAGGAGTACTGGCATAATTTGGAACTTGTTAGAGATGCAGAATCTTGGGCCTCAGACCTACCGAATCCAAATCTGCAGTTTAGATGTGGAGTTATCAAGAAGCAAATCCTAAATGCAGGCTCTGCCACTTTCCTGCTATGTGATCTTGGCTTTGTGACCTAACTTCTAAGTCTCAGTTTTCACATCTCCAGTCTTTTCACATTGGCCATAATAAAACCAATTTCAGAGTGTCAAGTAAATGAAATGAAATATTTTAAATGAACGCACCTAGAACAGCACCTTTTACATAGCTGAATTCAATAAATATTTGTTTCTTGGAAATGTGTTGGCCTATTACCTACCATCAAGTATCAGAACTCTTTCCTGGAGTTGGAACCAAGGAAAGAGTCACTCAAGCCCGAGGAGGGGGTGAATAGGTAATTCCCTCTAAAGAGAAGAGGAGTCTCA